CAATATGCCTAAATTGCAATGTAAATGAAGTTAAGTAAAAAACCATCACATTTATAATTAAATCACATACTAACATGCATTCCAAAATTCTACACATAAATCCAACTCATTGCAAAAGAAAAGTAAAATAAAAATAATGACATAATCTTCTCATGCCACTATTTTCAAACAAAAAGAAAGAGTAAGAAAAACTACACACAAAGCATGAAGAAAACACGAAGGAAAACTTCATTACAACAAAGCAAATCCAATAGATAAGTGTTTACAAAATCATAAGATAATGAAGAGCATTATACTTAGTTTTTCCCTTTGAAAGAAAGATAAAGATCTCTCCCACGAAGTCTCCCGCTAATCTACGCAATGCTCGTACAATTCCTTATAGATTCTCTCAAAATCCTCCTCTCCAATCTCTCCAGGAAATGTAGAAATCTACATTTCTACTTTTATTCTAAGATCTCTAAACATTCCTCTCGATTTTCCCTTCATACACACGCCTATATATCATCCATGAGAGGCGTTAGCCACTCTATTTTTAAAGAGACACAAAATTCCTCTTTTTTCTAAAAGCGGCATCTTTTCATTCCAAGAGACAATTCTCTACATCCAAGAGACATATCTCTTCATTCAAGAGATTTTCCCAAGTGTCTAGATTCATTGAACCACTCTATGGGGGCATTTGATTCACTTAAAGTATTCTATAACATCTCAACATAGTCAAAAATTGCCAGAAATACATCAAAACTCGTTGTTGGCACCTCTGGTGCCGCTCCTCTAGATTTTGGCGCTTTTGGCACCATTCTGGCACCTCTAGCGCCTGTTCTCTGGATTTTGGCATATATACTTACAAGATAAGCATAAAAGCAACATTTCTTTAAAGTGTAATTTATTCAAAAATATGTGAGAAGTGTAAAGAAGATTAAGCATAGAAAGACATCAAAATGTGCATGGTCAGAATTTTTTTTCTTGCTCGTTTTTACTTCAAATTGCATTATTTTTGTTTCCTTTTCTCCAAAAGCCCTTTTCTTGTACCTGAAGTAAAAAATATACAAAATACATTCTTTTTAAGTGTAATATTATTAAAAATGGGCATAAAATATTTATAAAAAATAGGTATTTTTTAGGCGTGTCAAAACGTATGTCACTTGTAGTGCTGTGCTCATTTATTTAAACTATTGTCTATATGAGATTAGTTCGGTATTGTATTTTCAAAAGTAAAATATTACTTTCCAAAATAATATTCATATAATAAATTAAATATTATTTTCTCAATTTGGCGACCAACACATATCACATCAACTATTGTAGAATGGTAGCAAGCTAGAGTAAAGATTTAGATTTCATCAGAGAAAATTTACTACCTAAGCGGGTGCTCACTTTCACCTCCTCGAATTGTATAGGAATTTACCTGAAGGTATGCCTCTTACACCTCATACGAGATGAGAAGGGAGAAACTGACTCAAATTCATCCCCTTTTGATGACACTCCTAAGGAGGAGCTAGTTCATACTGGCCCAGCTCAGCTGAGTGCGGCACAAATGATTGTATCGAGCAATCTCCCTAATGCTCTAATGGCGTCCTCATTGGAGACCACATTTAACCTAATGGTAGTTGGACAGCTGACCCCATTTCTCACAGACAATGCTAAGAATGTCAGAGTGGCCAATCAAGGGCTGGTATGCTCTATCTCTTATCTTCCCACCAAGCCTCTCCCCCTTATGGTGGCTTGATTCCTCTCGACTCGATGTTCTCTTGACATCGGGTTGCTACGTACTTTGGAGACATGTAACTGACAAAGAAATTTTAGCTTTCCATGAATATGTAGAAATATTAGAAACTCTATGAAAAATAATAACAAAATAAAAAAGTGAGTAAATAAGATATGCACCTGTCAAAACTTTAAGCCTGATGACTCAAAGCACCTTAGGAATCACTTATTTTGTTGCTTTGGCAACGACCGAGTGAGCCTTCTTCATCACTATCCAAGCAGCCAATTTTTTCACCCACTTAGCTTGATTGGTTTCAGAGGCTTCACAATCATCCTTGGTCATTACTTTGAAGATGCCCATCTGCATCATCTTATCAGGACCACCAACTTGGCCCCTCAATCTTACTGATCTTCAATAACACTCTTGCCAACACCCTGTCCTTTACGTTCAATGGGGCATCCCCATATGAAACCATCTAGATGAACTACCCTCGGAGGAAGGAAGTCAAATAGAATTACTACTTCTTGTTCCTCACCTTGTTCTTCAACCCTAGTACTTGGAATTTGTTGACTGAAGAGAACTAGAAAATTTCATTTGGTCTGACCTGGAATAAAAACAAATAATTGAATTGGTGAATAGATCATGGAACCCCTCATTGTTGTTAGAATATTACAAAGTTCATGAAAGTTGCAATATAATTGGGCTTCACTTACGCCAGGATGACTCGATAATTGTGGTAAAGATGAAGGACAACTTGTTGCAAAGGTGCAAGCAAAGACCAAGCTAAAATCAATCATAGTATAATAGAGGAATAGCATAGTACAGTGAGGTCGCCTAATCCAACTCGCCATGTCCCTAAAGCTTGATGGAAGAATCATAAACCTGACTCTCCTTCAATAAATCAACCTCCTCCCAAGTCATTCATGATTAGTTTTTTGAAACCACCAACCTAATCTCTTGTGGTGAGTGAGTACTAAAGTGTCAACCAACTATCACTAGAATTAAATTATAGAAGGTTAAGAGAGAAGTAGATAGAAAAAAAAAAAGTATTCAATATGGTGCCCCTCATATATATATGCACCTTATACATTGGGTCTGCAAAAATAACTCCTTGAAAGCCAACCTCCACACTATCCACTCCTTTATCCTTAGAGAAGGGAACAGACCAGCCAACTGGCTTGCTAAAATAGGGAATCACACTGAAGAAGTTATTGCTAAAACTCATCATGACTCATGCTTAACCAACTTTTTCTTCAAAAATTTGTCAAAGTATATATACTATCATCCCCAATAGTTTCAAACATAGATGTTAAATTTTTTTAATACTCATGGAAAATATTAAGATTTACATACATACCACCCAATACATATGTATTTACATATCTAAAACTTGAATTTTAATTTTTACATACGCGACACATTAGTTTTGCTTAAAAAGTTATATTTCATTTTAAAAGTTAATTGTGGTGTTTTTTGTGTTACAAAAAAAGCTAAGTGATAAAAATGTATAATGTAAAATTTAGGTGCTAAATAATTATTGGGTGATGATTCTTTATTAATAGGTGATGATTCTTTTTCATGAGAATAGGTTGGTATACAAGAAAATAACCAAGCACTAATGGTGGGATAATAAAAAATTTCCATCAATATTCCAGCCGCAAACAAATGATTCAGTAGAAGTTGACCATATATTAAGAATTTTACACTTTAAGATGTATAATCCAACAAAGCAACAATCAAGTTAAATAATAACAAATATGTAAATTTTGTAAATTTTAAACACTTTACAAAATATAACGAAGGTGATAATAAATCAAAAATGACCATATGTATTATCTTATCAAATAAAATAAATGGTAGGCTTTATTGCCAATTAAAAATTTTAAAATATTTGGATCAAATACTTATCTACTTAAATTGCCCTCTAACACATACATGCCCTTTTTTATATCTATGATATTAATCCTTAAGAAATTCAACATACTCATATTATTGGAGGCACGAGTCAAATCGCAAATTCCTTGATAGAATCATTTCGACAGAATAAAAAAAAAAAATAAAATTAAGAACTTTGTAATTATACATATATTTTATTTGGTTAAATTATCTAGATTTGGAAAATTTTTATTTTTACTTTTCCTTTCTCTAGGACACATTATTAATTCATGTATTTTTTTTTTTTTTTTACTGACTCGAGGCTTTCCCAATTGGATTAGGCTTGAAAACGGCCAATAAATAAGAGCTTCGTAATTCCGTAAAAATTATATTTTAATCATGCAAATTTCGTATGAAAATACTTGACTAGCTGCTCCATTCTTTCATGAAGCTTTGTGAATTATAATTGATCACCTAGGACGGCTGATTATTAGTCATCCACATCAAGTCTTAGTCAATGCTAGCAACACAATTTCTCTCCTCTATAAAACGAAAAATTATTAAATCAGGACACCTAATGTAAATTTAGATCAAGTGTCCAATAACAAGATGCCACATGGCAACCCGGGCCCGAACAGTGTAGGTCACCGGGCCCAAATTGTCATGTGGCCCTCTGTTATTGGACACCTGATACAAATTTACATCAGGTGTCCTGATTCAATAATTTCTCAAAACGAAACAATGAATCTTTGGCCTCTCTCAATCCCAAGGCGACTCCAGCCCCCTTTTAACTCTCCAAAACATTACTTCCACAATCCCTACAACTTCCTAAAGTAAAAAATCTCAATTAGCTCTTATAAATCCTAATAAAAAACAATATATTTTTTCACTGCTAGTACAAGAATTTAAAATTACAATACAAAGAGAAGTTTTCTTTGGAGCAACAAGACCAAAAATTTCACACCATTAATTCTCTAACATCTGACATTTGATCAGGAATTCCCTACCCCTTTTTGAAAAGAAAAAAAAATTATCTTTCAAGACAATTTCAGTATTAAATCTATCCAAACTCTCAATATCTTTTTTCCCCTTAATACCCTATACCTTTCAACACCACTCCAATAATATACCCAACAAATTGTATAGCCTTTACCATCAAAAGATCCTATAAACTATAAATCACTGTGGCTAGGAGTAAATATTTAGAGAATAAATAAAACATTTTGGAGAAATGTACATATGTACCACCTAATTCTTAACACCTAAATACTAACCTTTCATACCACATCAAAAATACCAATATTTTAACTTTTAAAAACTGAAATAAACCTTTCAAGCATATAGGTAAGATGGCATATATGTAAAAATTGGATTTCAGGTGCTAGATATGTAAATACTTTGGAATTAAGTGGTATGTATGTAAATCTTCCAAATGTTTTTAAAAGATTTAAGAATAATTTAATTTAAATTAGAATACTAATAAAACACTAATCAAACATACCTTATCTAAAACAAAAAGCGATGTCAAATAAACTATAAATGCCTGGCGTCAACGTCTCCTACGCTTGTATTCATCCACCTTGAATTTATCATTCGTTGAATTTTGGTGGCTTCTTGGAGGCCTAGCAAGCTTGTCATTGCCCCATTTGTCACTATCCTTGGCACCCCAGCAAGTATTAGCACATCGCTGAAACATAAAGTTAATAAAAGTAAATTAACATCGATAATACATAGAGATGGATATACTTGCTTAACAAGCCAAATAGAAAACAGTCAAAAAGCTTGCAATGAGAGCTTCGAGATCAAATCCAACATCAGCTTTTAAACGTTTACATAATTATAACATCGGCTGCCAAAGATTATAAATAATCTTGGTAAGTCGGAGCAGCTCGTACAGGGACACACTTATCATCTTCTTATATGGTGTTATCGAACTCCGTCCAGCCCACCATCATCTACATCCTCCAACGCAAACCGCAGCATCTCTTCCAACTTATCCAACTATGATGCTGCGCCATTGAATAGCCAATTAACTGCGATCTTCTACAAAAAAATGGCATAGGCTTCCTGGCTATTGGGGTCTCTTCATGGAATTCACAGCCACACACTGAATCTCGTCTGTTAATGATCTTCACTTGCTTATGAAATTAGTTGGTGGTATTAATTATCCTTAAATTCTTATAAAGAAATAATAGCTATAATTTCTCATATAACAAGAAGCAAACGAAATTGAAACTTGGAGATTTAAGAGATGAGCACAAGCATTTAGATTTTCTTGTATCTTTTGGCCTTGGGTTTGAAATTACTTTTCATATTTACCCTAGTTCATTCAAAGCTTTATTCAAATTTTGGGGATATGTGAGAGTATAGTAAAGGTGATACAACAATATATGGATATGCACAATTGATTTTGCAATCAAGGAAACATTTTACTATTCTCATTTATGAAAGGAGATGCTGTTTTTCTATTGTTTTTGATTAGCTTGCTTGGTAAGATTATCATTAATACTAAAATTTTTAATATTATAAGTGTGCTTATGCTCCTCTAGTAAGTTTAGATATAGGGTTTAAAGATAAATTATGTAATGACTCAGATAAATTATGGAATGACTTAAAAGACTTAATACAAATGATACCTCTTGAAGAAATAATTTTTGTTGGAGGCGATTTAAATGGAAATGCCGTTAGAGTGGTAGAAGGTTTCAGAAATATTCATGGTG